GAAAAATATTAAAAAATAATCCAAAAACTACTCAAATAATTAAAAAACTTTTAGTCGGCAGTTGCTTTTATTTGTGTTTTTTTATAAACTTTAAAAAAAAATGTTGCCTATCTAATTTTTTATTTTAATTGAAAATCCATACGTTACCGAAAGTAACCATACTATTCTTGATTTTCTACCTATGTTTGGTTTAGAATGATAATTAAATAAAACACTATTTAAAACGTAATTAATTTCAAATTCTGGATTAAACTGTGAATTAGTAATATAGCATTGTTTTATACTATTTGAAATTAAAAAATATACAAAATAATATTTTTCAAATAGACATGTCGAGCATTAGAATATGGTGCCGACTACTGGCAAAAAACGAATATTTTAGTAAAATTGCAAATGTTGCCAATTTAATAAAAACAAATTCAATTTTTGTTTATTATTTCGAAAACTAAACAAAATTTGGAATCTGAACAACTTTATTTTTCTGCAATTGAAAGATTTCACTTACAATGTTCAAAGATTGAAAAATCGAAATGGTACACTTACCCTATAGAGAGATCTTAACATTTTATATATTACTGTTAAGAACACGAGTCATTTTGGTCGAAAAAATTACCCTCAAGCGTGTCAACAAAGGTGTCTTTTAATTATTTACAGACTAAATCATACATAAACACCAGGAGTTTTTAAATATTACACAAAGCACAATTTAAGATCATCATCATCTTCATATGCGTTTTTCCGAAATTTCCCTACAAAGCTTAATTTTTTGAGGATGAAATCGAAAACAAAAAGTAAGCACAAGCTTTGGTCGTGTGGGGCCGACCATGTGATACCCTACAACAGTACAATGTGTTAAAATGCCCCTTACAGGGTGAGATAAAACCATAATTTTTATTTTTTTTTTTTAATTATATTGAATGAAAGCAAAAAAAGTCGGAAATAGCATCGAATTTTAGATTAAGTTAAGATTTGTTCAAATTGGTCACCTTTGGCACGAATTATGGCCTTCAAACGGCCAATGAAACCTTGCTTTCGAAAATAATCCAGATGCAATAGTCCAATGGGATGGTATCCAGAGATTTTGGTGGCCATTGTGCGCTGAAAATGAAGCGAGGAACCTCATTTTGTAACCATTCTTGGTTGGCGCGTGTTGAGTGCGATGTTGCTGAGTCCTGTTGGGATGTCCAAGGTCTGCAGCTAAAATGTTTGTGTGCCCAAGGCTAAATTACACCCTCCAGAATATTTTCGCGATAATATTCGACATTTATTCTAATGCCACGGTCGATTAATACGAGCGGAGAGCGACCATCGGCTGTTATAGCGGCTCACACTATCACCATGGCCGGCGCTTGAGTTCTGGTGGCCAACCGAAGGTGCACATTTTCAGCTGACCTCTTTGGCAAGTTAACACGATCATTTTGTTGGTTTACAAACTGCTGGACATCGAATTTTTTCTCATCGGAGAAAACCAAATTCGGCAGTTCACCACTTTCGGCCAAGCAGGGCAACTCTTTAGCTCTTTTGGGTCTATTTTCTTTCTGTTATTTATTTATTTGCCGATTGGAATATTGCGATATGTTCAGCTCACCAGCCATTTTTCGGCCACTGCGCCGCGGGTTTCGATCAAGTCACATCTTTACTTTTCGAACCATTTCTGCTGATGTTGCTGTTTTCTTTCGTCCACTTCCTTGACGTCGGGCTACGCTACCAGTATCACGAGACACAAAAGATCTATTCACATTTAAATGCTGGAGTGCTCTAACGATAGCCACTTGTGGTTTTCCAGCCAAATATAACGAAATCACGCTTGAATTCCATCACGAATAACTTTTTTCTGGAAAATTCTCACGAAAATGCTTTTGTACGCTTGTAAACAGTATAATGAGCTGTCACTGGAATAATTTTAACAGCAGCCTGAAGTTGTTTGCAGTTTTCTCATCCGATATCTTGGCTATCATCACTGAGTGTGATATGGCCGGTATTAACAATATTTGCGGTTCAGTGCAAATATTTGTATTTTTTGATATAAAAGTTATGGCTTATTTTATCCGCTAAATATTGCCCGATTGCCGTCCAAAATAATAAGCTTCAGCCCAGTCCAGAACTCTAACTCCATGCAAATTTCCGCGTCGATTGGTTCATAATTGTGGCCTATAGAGCAACTGCAAAATCAGGAAAATTTTCTGTTTTAGGTCCATTTCAATAGGGTCCTATTCTGACCCTAACCCCACCTCCATTTTCAATTTCGTAAGGATTGGGCCACAATTGCGACCTGTAGCTTGATTACAAATTTACATGGACAGACGGATGGACATACATAGCTAGATCGACTAATCTCGGTGAGATAGAAAGATCCATATATAGTTTCCTATGTCGGAAACAATTATTTCGAGGTGTTACATAATTTGCTCATATTGCAGGGTATAAAAATATTCTTCACCCAATTCCTTTATTTATAACGAAAATGTTTACCGAAAAAACACAACAATTTCCATTTTTCATAGACGATTCTTGGGGTCTATAAGACGACGACATGGACCTGCATAGGTAACTTTTGTCATAAGCCATTACAATCAAAAAATAAGTGAATAATGTAGCGAAAATCATCAAAATACCGAATATCAGGAATATCCATTTCGAACTTCAATAACAAATTTGAAACAATTCATGGCCCATTTACAATACCAAAAGTCCTGCGAACATAATATACACTTGAGCGAAATTTTATCAATCTACTTCAATTCGTCCGGAAACTAAAGTGATTTCCACGGACGGACGGACAGACGGACGGACATCGCTAAATCGACATAGAATTTTATGGTGATCAATATTACATATACTTTGTGGGGTCTAAAATGCATTCTTCGAGGTGTTACAAACGGAATGACTAACTTATATTCCCTCCATACTATGGTGGAGGGTATAAAAAGTACCATACAAAACATCATCAATTTTGATTTATAATAAATTTAGCAAATTTTTTTAAAACTCGGTACTACAAGTTGATTGTAAGGTACACCTCCTGTGTTAGAACATTATCTATGTATCCTCCATACAGCTGTACCTCTGAATATTTGCTATTTTAGTACTTCAACAAAATTGTTTCAAATTTGGTATTTTTAATTTGCAATATATAACAAGTAAGCAAAGGCTACAGTCGAGCGGGGCCGACCGTTGAATACCCTACAACACTATAATAAACCATACAGTTTATATAGGCGAAATACTCGACAGAATTCCACAAGATATTGTGACAAATAATAAAAGAAAATCATCAGGTTTCGTTCTCCAATTTTCGAATAATAGCAACTTAAACTAATTTGCTCATTTCCAATTTATTGGTAGATGTTGCATGTAAACGGTCTTCCTAGATCTGGAACCTATATTTCCCAAAGACCTATAACCTCTCAGAAGTGGCAAAAGATTAACATTTATTAATGGTTTTTGGCTGAAACGCATGAAACGAAATCAGCGTTAACGAAATAGTCGGAAGTGCGTCTTTCCTGTATTTGTGAATTCTCCAAAAAGTCACTGGAATGGACTTTTTCGTATTTTGTCTATAAAAGTTGGCAAACTCCTTCACACATTGAATATTTTTGGATGGCCATCCAAAACTGCTTGGCTTTTGCAATGTCCGGTAACCCCCATTTAAATGTGTGTGATGATCGGGCGATAATTACGACCTGCTGACAATTTTGCATTTTTTGGTCCATTTCAACCCCTAAATATATTGCGATTATCTCCAAAAAAGAGTAGGCTTCTATTCTGACCCTCATCTTGTCCCCATGCTAATTTCCGTAAGGATCGGGCCATAAATGCGATCTGTATATGATATCCTGATATCCTAACTACTTAGTTTTGTTAGCTGTAAAAATATTACCAAATATTTAATTCAAAATTAAAATATGACAAAATTGAAAAAATATGAGAAAATTTTACAAAATCAATATTTTCATCTTAGAGAGATATTTTTATGCGATTTTTTTAGACGTTTTTTCTTTCCTGCCAAGAGGTCATTCTGAATTAATGAGAACTGTCGAAATCAGTTCAGCCGTTCTCGACATATATGAGATCTTTCAAGCATATCTTCTTTGATAGACATATATATCGCACATATTTTGCTATATATCCGATTTGTTGGATAATAACATCAATGTAAAGGTCAGAAGTAACCTTGTGATGGCTTTGTGATTTCGCCGGGATTTAAAATATTCTACACGCGAAATTTCGTGTCGACTGGTCTATAATTGCGACCTGTATAGCTGCTGCAAAATCCGAAATTTTTTCAGTATTTGGTCCATTTCAACCCCTAAACATTTGGCGATCATCTCCAAAAGCAATAGGGTTCTATTCTGGTCCAAGCCCCACCTACATTCTAAATTTCGTGAAGATCGGGCCATAATTGCGTCCTGTAGAGTGATTACAAATTAACATGGACAGACGGACAGACGGACGGACGGACATACATAGCTAGATCGACTCAGCTCGGCGACCTAGGAAGATCCATATATACTTTCCTATGTGGGAAACCAATATTTCGAGGTGTTACATAATTTTTGGCCCAATCAAACTTATAATACCCCCAACACATAGTGTGTATAGTAGGGTATAAAAACGACTTCGGCAAGAAATCATTGATATAGGCTCACGTTTTGTGAAGACTTTAATTTCATTCTCCAACCGATTTCACTGACATTTGCAATTCAAAATGGATCTCATTCGAATATTGAATTACTTTTATTCATCAATTTTTTCTTTAGCTCACGGTGGATGGTATTGAAATTTTAACCCGGACTAACTAAATGCTTTTACCATTATTTTTATACGATTTACTTACTTATTTTTTTGCAATAAAATATGCGAAATTTCACCAAACCTATCTTCCTTCCGCGTTGAACGGCAACTAACAACATTTACTTTACTTCTTTAATATGTCCGGAAAAATTGAATATGCTTTCGACAGCTCCAATGAATGATTGATTCCTTCTTTGCTAACAACATGTGCTTAACTTATATTTTATTTATTCTAAATATTTATGTATAGATATTGTATAGACTTAAACCTAATTATGGAATCATTCCGTCATTATTCATTTTTCGATCATTCATTACAGTCTGTAAAGAAAAAGAAAGCATAAGAAGAAGAAGAAAATTTCAAAATTCAAGAACAATATATTTTTGCCATAAAATCAATCGGAAAATGATAAACAAAAGGTCGTTGCGTTTGCTAAATACCTGCATTAATGACACCTTCGATTGCAGTTCCGATTCGATGGAATCTCTCGGCCCAGACGATGAAGTCAAAGTGGTTTTACGACCGATGCTGCGATGAGAATTTTGAGATCTGCGTTGTGTTGTTGATTTCTTGCCAAATAGAATTGACTGTAAAACAAAAACAATGCGAATGGAAATTTTCCCAAAAGGCGAACAGTACAAACAAAATATTTTATTACAAAAAAAAGTTGGTTGTTTTCTTTAAACAAATGCTAATTGGAAAATAATTCGTTGATAGGCCAGCAGAATTAATGATTTTTCTATTTACCTTAAATGCCTGGCGAAATTTATTGCTCATCAAATTGTACAGCAAGGGGTTAATGCACGTCGACAGATAGTAGAGCACCCCCGAAATATAAGTCATCACCGTGTAGATGACCTCATGATGATCTTTGTTGTTGTTGCTGTTGTTATTGGTGTTACTGCTGCTCCTGAGACTGTCTCGCACATCATCAGCATCCCCAATTGTCGATATGCCATTTAGTAATTCCACATCAGCATCGTTAATGTCGCCCTTAATATCCGAACCATGTGCGGAGGACCCACCGCCATCAGCTATTACACCCGGACCATAGACAGCAATTAACCGTTGAGCATGGAATGGTGCCCAACATAAAAAGAAGCAAATTACAACTGCCACTGGTTGTTCAATCCGGTGGTCGAAAGGATACATGAAAAAATAAAATAGAAATAAAAATAACATTTATTATTTGACTTAAATAAGTATCACACACGCACACATGGCTTGTCACGAAATCGTATTTTAATTATGATTGATAGTAAAGGGTAACACTTTTTTGTGCGATGAATTGTTTAAAATTTTATTACAAAAGGGATTAATTAACAAGTAAGCAAAGGCTATAGACGTGGGAGCCGACCATGTGATACCCTACAATACTACAATATGTAGGCAGTCCCCTTATGTCCAAATCCATTTTCGAAGATTTCGCTTTTGAAATTATGTCATAGAGCACTGCCCCATATTTACGGACTCCGTCGTGCTGTTAGTAACAGATAAATATAATCAAATGGTCATCCAACATACTAGACTTCTGTCCTGCCATTAACTCTCTTCTCATGCTAAATTCCGTGTCGATTGAAAATCGAAAATTTTTCTGTTTTTGGTTAATTTGAACCCATAAATATTTTTCATTTGAACCCATAAATATTTATCACCAAATGCAAGAGGCCCCTCTGTATCTCCAAATTTAAAATCATCTATATGATTTGCTTGTCTACGATATTTGGCTATATTCGGCAACGTAATCGGCATAAAAAAGTCAGACATTTGCCATTTGTATATTTTAAATTACGCCTGTAAGTTATTTTCAGCGTTTTGGTAGGAAATGGAAATGTTGGTATTTTTCACACAAAAGTAGTGGTCCATTCTACTCGCTGTCCTAAACTATTACTTCATGCGAGATTTCGTGCCTTTGGTTTCTATTTGGACAATTTTCTGTGCGGACAATTTTCTGTCATAGGCTGTAGTACAGGGAATAATCCGTTGTAAAGTGGACCGAGCCATGCCCAACTGCTGAGAACGGCGTTTTTGGGATGTTCTTGGGGACCTCTCAACACTGGCGCGTACGGCAGCGATATTCTCGGCCGATCGCCTTGGTCGACTTTTATATGGCCTCTTCGGATTAGAAAGAGCCTTACCTGTCGAAAATTTTTCGTATAAATGCTTAATGGTGTTCTTAGAAGGCGCACTTCTCACATTTTTTAATGTTTTAAAATCACGTTGAGTTTTCACAATTGACTTCTTCTGTTGAATGTAAATTTCAACTATTTCAGAGCGCTCGCGTGGCGTGTATTGGTTCATGGCAAAAATCTGCTTGGACTGACGCTTCAAACGCGGTATGTCATTAAACGATGTGACATCTCTGTCAAAAGTTATGGCGTTGCCAAATGGGTCCGTCGAATATGGGCAACCCTGTATCCATTACGAGCTTCAAACACCAAATTTGAAACAATTCCGGTGAAAAATGTCGCTTAAATCGCCAAAATATCGAAAATAGGGAGGCACCATTATATGTGGGCTATACCAAAACGTGGACCTACATGACCCATTTTCAATACCAAAAGTTCTACAGACATAATATACATTTGAGTAAATTTTTATCAACCTACTTCATTTCGTTCGGAGGCTAGAGTGATTTCCACAGACGGACGGACATCGCTAAATCGACGTAGATTTTATCGTGATCAAGAATATATATACATAGTGGGGTCCAAAATGTATATTTCGAAGTGTTACGAACGGTGGAGGGTATAAAAATATTAATAATAATAACAATAATGAATTTAACTTTGCTTAAATTCAGTCATTCCTTCGCCATTATTTATACAAAAGGGCAGCAGTGCTAATATCAATATGGGCATTGTTTCATGCTGAACTATCAAAGATATCTGTTATTGTTATATTGTTTGTCCGGTCCAAAAATAAAAAAAAAATAATTGTTATAGACTATTAATGCGGTGGTTGACATTATGTACTCGTAGCTCTCGAATGATACATTTAACGTATTTCATTTCAGTGGAGTACAACCTTCAATTAAATCATATTTTTTCGGAATTATTTTTTTCGGAATTATTACTCTAGGTTTTGTATGCACATATCTATTGATCGGTTATAGAGACAGTCTTCAAATTAGGAATGTGTAACGGAATTCGTTACAAAAATAAATTTGTCAAATTATATTGAAATCGATTCAGATTTGGATATAGCTCCCATATATATTTTCAACCGATTTCATGTAGGTTATGTACCAAACACGATATGTATGTCCGATTCCAATGAAATTCAGAATGGGTGGCGGAATTTGGTTGCAATAATAAATGTGTCCAATTAATTAGAAATCGGTTAAGATTTGGATATAGCTCCCATATATATTCGCGGGCGATTTTACATATTTGATGCACCAAGCACGGTAATAATGAAATATGGAAGGTGAACACGCCTAAACGGATTTTCTGGAAAAGCTGGGAGGGTTAGTTGTTGCCGAAACGAGGAAATAATATTCTTTAATGCAGGAATAATTTCTCCTCGGAGTTGTATGAAAAAAAACCAAAGAAAGAAAAAAAAACAAGATGTTTTAGAAAAGGAGTTTGCCAAACAATGGAATTTTATTGAACAAAATTCGGTGGAGAATTTGGAAACGAATCTTACCAAGACAGTTGTGTTTGCTGGTTAGAATAGAAGTAAATTTATTTACAAAAAAGAAAAAAGGAACAACCAGTGTAAAAGGAAAACATTTGCATTTAGTACATTAGCATTTAGTACCAAGAGAGAGATGCAAATTTAGACAAATGAAAGAAAAATTGAAACTAGAGAATAGGGTGACCAGCGTGGTAACTTTGGCGTTAACATTACCGGCCCCCTTGCAGTAACTGCAACTAAAGAAATTAGACCAAAAACTAGCACTCTCTCTTGTTTACAAAAAAAAATTGATATATTGAAAGATTAGATATATATAATGGTAAACGGGCTGGTACCAGGATGCAGTCTTCCTTCAGTGTGAACAGCTCAGCCACATAGATTCGCTAGGTCTGTAACCACTGGATACTAAATATGCTGAAAAGGAAAGTTTGTGCTTTTTGGGAAGGAGGAAAAACAATAGTGCATGTGAGAAACTTCATTTATTGGTGGAATTCATTTCGAAGAAAATATTAATAAATACAATGAATCGTTCAGTTCGAACAGGAGCCATAGATCGCCCACCCGAAAATGGTACTCTGAGCAGTGGGCAAGGCGCTGCGTGAATACACCCCTTCTGACATTACCCTCGGATAAAGATCCACTCCGATGACAATATCGATGCCGGCAGATTTGTGGAAGTCCGGATCGGCGAACAGCAAATGCGGGAAGTGCTTGTGGTAGTCTTCCGGAAGTGATTCGAGTGGAGTCTTCATCGCGATCCGATTATCCACACGAAAAGTGCCCTCAATCTTCACGGACGAATCATGCCTAGAGTAGAGTGTAAGCGCGCAAATGGTCTCCTCCCTCAAAGTAAGCCGCGCTAACTTGTGCTTGTCGGCGAAACCCCGGGCTATGCGGCTCACCAACGAACCCGAATCCAGCAAGCATCGGGCCATCACTTTCGCGTCGATCCGAACCAGAACTGTGGGCAATAATATTATAGTGTTCTTGTGGATCAATGATGTTAGGGATCCTTGGGACGAAACGGCGGGCCTAGTACGTTCAACAGCGCGATAAGTAGATCTCGTTGATGTAGATGGCTGTGGTGACACCGAGCGAGATTGGGACCGAGACGACGAATTTCCTGGCAGAAGCTGGTCACGGAGCTTGGGGTTCACATGCAGCAATGTGTGGTGGAATTTGTGGCAGTGATGGCAGCCGCGATCGCTAAAGCATGTACCATGTGAGTGTCCGTGAGCCAGGCAGTTCACACAGTATTTATGCCGCCGTACAGCATTCAGCCGATCCGCCATGGTCATATCTAAAAACTTCCTGCACAATCGTAATGGATGCGGACGCTGGCACAGACGGCAGAGGAAACGTCCCTTTCTGTGAGGAGCTTGGTTGGCACGGGAATGACTGATGCGACTGGAGCTGTTCGATTTAGGCATGGTTCTTGACGTAACATAAATATAGATAGAAGGAAAGGAAGAGAAAGGTAAATAGAGGAAATTTCGAACTTAGTTATCAGAAGGAAGAACTACGAGCTTGGTTATCGGGCGAGTTATGATGCCTTTCTGAGTTACGACGTCTGCGACTCGAACATGCCGATCGGAACCAAGATAAGTCTTATTGACTCTACCCAACCGCCACGAAGTCGGCGGAAGATTTTCGTCATGAATAGCGACCAGTGTGTTCTCCTCAATATCCTTTTCTGAAGTTTGCCACTTCGTACGCTTTTGGAGTTCTCGAAGATATTCAGTTTTCCAGCGAGAACAGAAACTTTGATGGACAGCTTTAAGACGTTGCCATCTATTCAGCAGGGAGAGAGGACTGTCATCAATATGTGGATCGACAGGAACGAGAATCGGAGAACCAATCAGGAAATGGCCAGGAGTCAGAGCTGCGAAATCGGAAGGCTCGCTTGAAATCGGAGAAAGAGGACGCGAATTTAAACACGCCTCAATCCTCGAGAGTAGCGTGGAGAACTCCTCGAAAGTATACTTGGAAGAGCCGGCGAACTTACGGAAGTGGGTTTTGAAGCTTTTGACTCCGGCCTCCCAGAGGCCACCCATATGAGGTGCCCCAGGTGGAATAAAATGCCAGTTTAGATTATGAAGAGCATATTGAGAGATCACAGCCGAACGCGAAACTTGAATGAATTCTCTAGCAAGAACTTTGGACGCCCCTACAAAGGTCGTACCATTGTCAGAGTATAAGTGGGAAGGACATCCTCTCCTAGAAACGAACCGATGGAAGGCTGCTAGGAACGTGGGCGTCGACAGGTCGGATGTAAGCTCCAAATGGATCGCCTTTGTGGCAAAACACACGAACACGCACACGTAACCTTTCGTGAAACGACAACCACGCCCGCAATAACTTTTCACATCAAACGGTCCCGCAAAATCAAGACCGGTACGGAAAAATGGACGAGAAAGGACAGTTCGCTCAGGAGGGAGGGCAGCCATGATCTGCTTCTGACAATGCTTTTTGTAAAGAACACACGTTTTGCACTCCTTTATGACTGCCTTGATCATGTTCTTTACCTTGGGTATCCAGTATTGTGATCTTATCACTCGAAGAACAAGTTGATTGCCACCATGAATGGTAATCTGATGAACAAATTGAACATAGAGCCTGGAGAACTTGCAACTGTACGGGAGTATGATCGGACGTCTTTCATCGAAAGAAATCCCAGGTGACGAATCTAACCGGCCACAAGAACGAATTAGACCATCAGCATCTAGATATGGATTTAAGCTTAGAAGCGAACTAGAGGACGAAACTATCTTTCCCATGTACAATGTCCGGTACTCCTCTGGATAACAGGACTTTTGACACCATTTAACAAGAATATTACGACCTCCGATCATATCCGAACTGCAGAGAGGTTCCGAAGCGCGCGAAAAAGAAGAACGGTACCTTGGATGGGTACGGTGAATAAATCGATACACATAGGAAAATACCCTAAGTGCTCGCTGATAAGATGAAATGCTTCCCAATATATCCTCCGTTGAATCGAAATAGGAAAAATGAACACGAACAGACTTTCGCTCCACGTCTGTTTCTGTTGAATGAATGAACTCTGGCCATTGATCTGGAGTTTCACGAAGCCACCACGGTCCGTACCACCAAATATCATTATTGACAATGTCTTGTGGCAACACACCGCGGCTCGCTAAATCTGCTGGATTGGCTTCCGAAGGAACATGGTGAAATCTGGACGGATCAACTACTTGAATAATATTCGAAACTCTGTTGGCAACGAATGTTTGCCAATGACCAGGAGGTTTGGAAAGCCAGGACAGAACGATGGTGGAGTCTGTCCAGCAGAACAAGGAATATTTCGAAATATTAAGGGTAGGGAGTAATGTATCGATCATGTCTGCTAGAAGAACAGCCCCACAAAGCTCCAACCTTGGAATGGACAGTGTTTTCACTGGAGCAACTCTTGTTTTGGAATACACCAGGTGAGTGAATACGGACGTACCTCTAGCTATTCGCACATATAAAGCGGCCGCGTATGCCTTTTCGGATGCATCGCAAAAGCCATGGAACTGAATGTCAGCCGTAGGAGTAAAATCGAGCCACCTCGGAATTCTAACTCTATCAAGAACAGAGTAGTTTGACTGGAATATTTTCCATTCGGACAATGTGGAGGGATTTATAACATCATCCCAACCAGTGCCATCGGACCATATCTTCTGCATGATAACTTTTGCCACAACAATGCATGGTGAAAGCCATCCAGCAGGATCGAATAATTTGGAGATCTGAGACAGGATCTCTCTTTTTGTATAGGAACATGAAGATGGAAACGGTGTTGTTGAAAAGAAAAATTCATCAGAACTCGCATCCCACCGAATCCCCAAGGTTTTGGCTGTGCTGTGATCATCGAAGTCTAAAAAGGCTTCATGAAATAAATAATCATTAGGAAGATCTGCAAGAATGTCTCTCGAATTGGTCGTCCACTTCCGAAGGCAAAAGCCAGCGGAGTCTAGTGCAGATTTTAGTTCGGCTTTGGCTTGAATAGCAGTCGAGATAGAATGGGCTCCGAAAAGCACATCATCGACGTACATGTAATTACGAATAATCTCGCTTGCACTCGGATATAAATCTTGAACATCGTCAGCAAGTTGGAGCAGAGTGCGAATAGCCAAGTACGGAGCACAATTGACACCGAAAGTGACAGTTTGCAACTCGAAATCATGAATGTTCTCACCTGGGTGGTTGCGGAATATTATACGTTGGAACGGAGTATGATCGGGATGAACAAGAATCTGGCGGTACATTTTCTCGATGTCCGCATTGAATACATATCGGAAGAGACGCCATTTGAGAAGTAAAGTGGTCAAGTCAGATTGCAAAACCGGACCAGCGTGCAACACATCATTCAGACTGTGACCATTGGACGTATCGGAGGAAGCATTAAAGACAACCCGAACCTTGGTGGTTGAGCTCTCCGGCTTAATAACCGCGTGATGCGGTAAATAATAATGGCGTGAATCACTATTTAAACATGGAGCAGGAACTGGGACCATGTGTTTCAAATGAACGTACTCATTGAGTACCTGATCATACTCCTTTTTAAAATCTGAATTTCGTAGAAGACGGCTCTCATTGCGAAGGAATTGTGTTACAGCTCGTGAACGGGATTGACCAAGGTCCATTTTCTCTGGGAAACCTCGTTTGAAAGGAAGACACACGACATACCGACCATCTTTACTCCTTTTTGTAGTGGAAACGTAGAGCTCCTCGCAATATTTATCGGAGTCTGAAGGAAATTTTTTCTTAGGAAGATTCTCCACTTCCCAAAACCGACATATCTCTCTGTCTAAGGAAATTTCACAGAAATTGGAAATTAACATGTCTGATGAAGAAGACACTGGAACAGGGCCAGTTAAAATCCATCCAAAGATGGTTTCTTGACCCATCAAGGAGTCACAAATATCTTGTATGACTCCAGCACGCATGATGAATGGAAGAAAGTCACCGCCTATAAGAATATCGATGTTCGAACTTTTGAAGAAGTGCGGGTCAGCCAGATGAATTGAAGGAAGTCGAGAGAACAAAGATGATGGTAATGTGTGGGAAGGAAGATTTCCAGACAAATGTGGAACCACGAATGCTTGCACGGAAAGCTCAACGGAATCATCAAATCGAGAGGACAGCACAACGGAACATACTTTTCGAACGGAGGCAGCGGTCGAATTATTGAGACCAGAAATCTGAACGTTTGTACGCTGATATGGAAGTTTGACTTTATTGAAGAAACGTTCAGATATGAATGTTCCTTGAGAACCCGAATCTAGGAGTACACGAGCGTGATACGTTACTCCTAAGTGAATCACATTCACCAACGCAGTCCCCAACAAAACACCCCGAGAGCTGGAAGTGAAACACGTCTGAATTGCTCCACCCCCAGAAGTAGTGGACTGTACAGAATTTGGAGAAAATGGAGTGGAGTTTGGACTTAAAGTGGTAGAGCTCGTAGGTGGATTGGATGGATGACTACTTGACGAACGCTCATGAAGCATAGTGTTGTGCCGCCTCTGACACTCAAAACAATTATTTTTGCTCGTACAATTTTTTACGTGGTGAGTTTTTGAGAAACAATTCAGGCACAGGCCTTGTTTCTTGATCTCAGCCACGCGTTGTTTGACATCCATATCAATGAATCTAGGACATTTTCGAATAATATGAGCGGAATTTGTGCACAAAGGACATTTTGGAGCCGTAACATTGGTCTGGAATGAGCTGAACTTCGAATTCTTTGAATGTGCATTGGATTTAGTTTTTCGATCATCAGACTTCGGAAAATTGCGCATCTCGGAGACGGATTCAAGTGTACGATATCGATTCGTAAGGAAAGAATCAAGGTCAGCCCACCTTGGAATAGCAGTCTTGTCAGCCAAACCTTGTTCCCAAAGCGTCAGAGTTGAGTCAGGAAGACGATCCGAACAAAGGAAAACAAATATCGGATCCCAACTTCTAACGTCGATATCGTACAGAGATAACGCAGCAATACATGAATTTATGTCGCGCTGCAATGACTTAATTGCACTCGCTGACTCGGACTTAATATCAGGAAGATTGAATAGAACTTTTAATTGGCCATTAACAAGAATTCGCTTATTTTCGAAACGATCGCACAAACCTTTCCAAGCAAGTTGAAAACCTTGATTTGTCAAAGGTGCACGTTGGACAATATCTCTAGCTTCGCCTTTAGTCTTCTGGGTCAAATGAAACAATCGCTCGACTGGACTGAGCCTAGAATTTCTTATGTACACGGCTGTGAACATATCTCGGAAAGTCGGCCATGACATATAATCCCCGTTGAAAATTTCGGTATCGCATGGGGGCAGGTTGAACGAATAATTTGAACCATGATCATGATGGATTGTAGAATTAGGACTCTGGATCGAAGGGTCCGGAGGTGAGACAGAAGGCTCTTTAGGAACTGTTTGCCTTTGGAGATCCTCAGACAACTGCGTGAGGCGAGCCAAGCACTCGCAATAAGTGACATAGGCACTATTGTATTTGGCCTGGAACGTCTCGAGCTCCGAAGCGGCATCTGCATCTTCTTCGTGTTCATCATCCTCCTCGTTCTGTTCTTCGCTAGCTCGATCGGACATAAATTGGTCATACGCTGATTTGATGCCTGCCCATAAGGATTTAACTTCCGAAACATGTATCTTTATGAATTGGGCAGACGTCAAGGGAACATTACCACCAACAACCTCGGCATTGAAGGTGACCAGACGATCAGCTTGACGAATGAAGGCTTCCAAGGACATTATCGCTCAGTAAAAAATTAATGAAAATTGATTTAGAACAAGAAACTAGCAAAGAATAAGCGAAGAATAGCGAGAACGGGAGGAAATAGGGGAACTTCCCAAGCAAATTTGTTCATGAATATCTAAAAAAAATGGTTGAAAAATACGTTTTTCTTTGTATTTTCTCCTTTGTACAGCGCCACCTAGCGGTAAATGAATGGACAATGGATAAAACAATGGAAGAACTAAAAACCGTAGGTGAATTTCCACGAAAAACGGGAATAAATTGGAATAATATTGAAAATATTATGATTTTTGAGGTATTTTCGTATATATAAAACGCCCCCTGGCGGCGAACGAACACACTATATATTTGCACAGTCAGAAATAAATCCGCAGTGAGCAAAAGTAAAAAAAAATCAAAGATCACCCAGGAAATAATAATAAATAATTGAAAGAATTAAAGTTTTTTAGGTGATTTAGAATTTGCAGAGCGCCCTCTAGTGGTGGAAAAACGTACTACCAATAAGCACCAGCGAAGAAAAGAATCAGAAGACGAAAATGTCCAAGAAAAACCAGAAATATTTGGGTAAGTCTCGAAAAAATCAAGTTTTTCTCCGAATTTTCTTATTTGGACCGCGCCCCCTAGCGACCGTAATGTGAACTAAAAATGGGCAAGAAGAAGGTACAGCACCACCTACCTTTATATATATTCGAATAATATATTTATATATGAATGTCGCAAACAAGTTACAGTGCGACCATATGAAAGGAACGACGGTAGGGTGCACGCACACTTAAAGAGAATAGCTTTACTACTATTGAGTGAAAACACACGTAAGAGAACTCCGGTGGTTGGCTGAACGTACGAACAAACCAACAGCGGCCACCAAACAACAGGAAAAATAATGTAGGTATGAATGTGTGTTGAGTGAGAACAAGCAATGCGGTAATGAACGCTGGTCGTTGGATGACCGAACAGACGAACAACCCAACAAGAAAAAATAGAAGAAATATACGTATGAAGGTGTGTTATAGTTGAACGAGTAGTTATTGTTCTAAAGAGACGAATGTAGGCAGATCTCTAACAACAACAACTACTGTGTTAAGGAGATGTAATGATCGTAAAGAAGAAAATAACACACTAACAAACACGTATAAAAAAATTAGTACCAATTCTCGCGGTAGAAAATAAAGAAAGGAAAAGAATAATTTGGAGCACACTGTCGCGAATAGCAAAAATTATAAATTGATGTTTTTTTGTTTTTTTTAGCACTTTGAAATAAATATGAATAGGAATATAATAATTTCAGATAAATAATGAAAATAATAATTTGAACATATGTTAATTGAATATTCCACCAAATTTTTAAATGAATAAAATTACGGAAATGTGGTGTTATTGAATAATAAAATTACTGAAATTTACAATGCACTTATGAAACACTGTGTGTTTGAAAAAATGAAAAACAAATTGCCGTCGGCAAAACGCACTTTAACACCCCACAGACGAATGCACTATTGTTATATTATAGAAATGGAAAGCACAAACTTACCTTTTTTTGATGAAATTGATGAAGCGAAGAAATTTAATTTGTGGAATTTGCAACAGCTATCCAATTATCCGGTACGATGGACCAAAATGAACACGCCTAAACGGATTTTCTGGAAAAGCTGGGAGGGTTAGTTGTTGCCGAAACGAGGAAATAATATTCTTTAATGCAGGAATAATTTCTCCTCGGAGTTGTATGAAAAAAAACCAAAGAAAGAAAAAAAAACAAGATGTTTTAGAAAAGGAGTTTGCCAAACAATGGAATTTTATTGAACAAAATTCGGTGGAGAATTTGGAAACGAATCTTACCAAGACAGTTGTGTTTGCTGGTTAGAATAGAAGTAAATTTATTTACAAAAAAGAAAAAAGGAACAACCAGTGTAAAAGGAAAACATTTGCATTTAGTACATTAGCATTTAGTACCAAGAGAGAGATGCAAATTTAGACAAATGAAAGAAAAATTGAAACTAGAGAATAGGGTGACCAGCGTGGTAACTTTGGCGTTAACAGAAGGTGTGACGAAATTTGGTGAAAAAGTAAATTTTGTTAAATTTTATTGAATTTGGTTCAGATTGGGATATGATTTTACTAAGAAGCTTTGTCCCACAACGCCTTTGCAATGGCATTAGGATAACAGTAAAAAACTACACTACAATTTAATTGAGATACGATTATTACGGGGAAGTAAGTTGCTCGAATTCTCTAATTGTAACAGAAATACCACTCAACTTCAAAAGATTGCAGTTTCCTGAACGCTTGGTATTTACTATGAAATTAAAGGACAAACGCTTCGTGTATGCGGATAAATGTGTCGTGTTCTTACTTTTCTCGTGGTCAGCTGTTCCCGGCATGTTCACACGTTTGTAGACCGAGCTATTTGTTGTCATTAAAGTATTACAATAACAAGTTAAAAAGTATCAGTCGGTATTGCCGCCAGTTACATACCCTGGTGCGCACGATAACTCTCGAAGGGAGTATCCAATTTGGTCCAAACTTGGTACATCGTAATATTTTTGTCAAACTTAGATCGAGTTCGGAGGTGGGCAATATCGGTCCACTCCTTCTGGTACCTCCCCCACAAAAGTTCGAAATTTTCAAAAAATTTAATTTTTGCACAGAAAGAGAAATTATAGTCCGATTTTGCTCCGACTTTGCAAATCTTAATATTTGCGTCAGCGTGAGGTCGGGTGTGAAAATGGAAAATATCGGCCCACTCCATCAAGTACCTCCCCCACAAATGGTAATAATTACAAAATGGTGAATAATTACAACTCTCATAAAATGTGATGTAAGTGTCCGATTGTCTTAAAATTTTACACATCCCAATATTTATATTAACCCAAGGTCTGGTGTTAAGATGGAATATATTGGTCCACTCCTTCTGGTACCTCCCGCACAAAAGGTCGAAATTTTCAAAAAAAAAAAACTATTTTTTTTTTTGCACAGAAAGAGAAAGAATAATTCGATTATTCTGCTACTTTGCAAATCCTAATATTTGCATCATTGCTAGGTCTGGTGCGAAAATGGAGAATACCGGTCTACTCCTTCCGGTACCTCCCCCACAAAGGGTCAAAACTTTAAATAATCACAACTCTCATAAAATGTGATGTAAGAGTCTGATTGTCTTGAAATTTCACACATCCCAATATTTATATTAACCCAAGATCTGATGTTAAGATGGAATATATCGGTCCACTCCTTCTGGTACCTCCCCCACAAAAGGTCGAAATTTGCAAAAAATATACTTTTTGCACAAAAAGAGAAAGGATAATCCGATTTTGCTCTCACTTTGCAAATCCTAATATTTGCATCAGTTCTACGTTAGGTGTAAAAATGGACAATATCGGTTCACTCCTTCAAGTACCTCCCCCACAAATATTTTGAATAATTACAACTCTCATAAAATGTGATGTATGAGTCCGATTGTCTTCGAATGGCGCACATCCCAATATTTATATTAACCCAAGCTCTGGTGTTAAGATGAAGTATATCGGTCCACATCTTATGGTACCTCCCCCACAAATGGTCGAAAATTTGAGATATATATTTTCTGCACAGAAAGGAAGCAATAATCTAATTTTGAAAAATATAACGCCCCAAAAAAGCGAAATAAGGATTCAACGCTTTTCAAATTTCACACATACAAATTATTTTTGCTAACACCAGATCTGTTTTGAAGATGATCCTATATATCTGCCAACACCTTCTGGTACCTCACCCACAAAGAGACACATTTTTCAATATTTTTATCTGTCATAAATTGCGAAACAACTCAGTGATTCTTTACAATTGCTATATCCATCTGCTATAATAATATTTATATCATATTTATGTAGGTCCGATACGAAATTGACAATATTGAACCATTCTTTAAAAACCCACTCCATAGAGGGTGAAGAGGGCTGAGGGTATACATCTGTCGGCAAACCGGACCGATACTTTTTTACTTGTTTTTTTTTTTTAACCAACAAATATTCATTTATAAAATTTTGAATGCATATAAAAGCGAAAAGAGTAGCGAAGCGCGCCGGGATCAGCAAGTTATTATTTATTCTTTGTTTATAATTTTTTTACGGAATAGTCCTTTAATTTCAGTTGTTTGTTTACATTATCTTTAACGGATAATTCAGCTCGCAAGAAAACCCTAAATGCCTTTTGGTCAGCAAAAGCAAATAATGTGTGTATTTGTCTTGTTTTCTTTTTAGCTTAGTAAACTAATTAATAAACTTTTACTATTTTTACATGATTTTTTTTGGCCCGCGAAGAATTGTTTGTTTGAACATTCCAATGCAATTTACCAAATTTTTATTTCGTTAAACTAATCGAAATGTTGTGAAAAGAATCAGCATGTTTTCCAAATAAAACTCAAGCATGTAAATGAAATGGGAGTGAATAAATGGTCATTGATAATAATGGCCTAGATGGCACAGTGTTTCGATTGCGATTGTATGAAATTCGTATTTGCATTTTTTTAAATCCAAATCTGATTAAAATTCAACGATATATTTCTATTATAAACTAATACAATGTTGATGTTAGAGGCTTTTTTCAGGGTTAATCTACTTTAAGAAGATTTATTTGAAAGCAAAAGTAATGTATATGACAATTTTAATTTTACTCAATTGTCTGCAGGACTTTTGGCATTGAAAATGGGCCATGTAGGTCCACGTTTTGGTATAGCCCCCCTATAATGGTATCTCCCTATTTTCGGTATTTTGGTAATTTAATCGATATTATTCACCGAAAATGTTTCTAATTTGGTATTTGAAGTTCATGGTGGATACTACAGTCTATGACAGAAAATTGTCTGTGCAGGTCCACGTCTTCGTATAGCCCCCATATGAAGGTACCTCCCCATATTCGGCATTTTGATTGTTTTAGCGACATTATTTAACGGAATTGTTTAAAATTTTTGTATTTGAAGATCGTAATAGATACTACAGCCTAAAACAGAAAATTGTCTTTGCAGGTCCACGTCTTCGTATAACCCCATATAATTGTATCTTCCTATTTTCGGTATTTTGGCGATTAAAGCGAATTATATACTGGAAATATTTCAAATTTGCTATTTGAAGTTCGTGGTGGATACTACAGCCTAAAACAGAAAATTGTCTGTGCAGGTCCACATTTTGGTATAGCCCCCATATAATAGTACCTCCCTATATTGATGATTTTAGGTACATTATTCACCAATTTTTTTTTTTTAAGTTTCACATTTGAATTAGTGATGGCTTATGACAAAAGTTGCCTATGCAGATCCACGTCGTCGTATAGACCCTAATATAACGGCTACATCAAGTATTTTTAAGATTTTAATAAAATTTTTTGAAAATTTCCAAAATCCTTACAAATAGCAGAGGGTATTCAAAATTCGGTCCGGCCGAACTTGCTTTTTTATCTTTTTTAATTGTTTTATTTTTAATTTTTCCTCTAAATCGCTGCTGTATGAAATACATAACTTTTTTTTTTTTGTTTCAACAACACTGTTCATTCGCTCTGGGCCATATGAAGCTTTTTAACGTATTTTATTGCATACAATAATCATTGATGTTTTTATTTTTTCGCACTTGCCTGCTCTTCACATCATCACACACATCGAAAAAAAAACGATTGTTTTCTAATTAAACTTTGGTCATTCAAATCGATTTCGAGCTGCTAATGTTTCGCTAATAAAGTGTAAATGGCATCGACTAGAGGCATTAAGTGGGGGTGGCGCCGCCATAGGCTTGTTTAATCGCACCAGGCGTAAACGATGAAGATTGACGAGGTCACAAATTGATAAGAGCTGTCTGTATGTCTGTGTATCTTTCTGTCTGCACTCGCCAGCTCATCCTATCCTATCCCGTTTTTGGTTCGGTTCTGTACTGTTGTCATTCGAATATATTTAAATGAGTCGCTGAACATGACTATAATGACATATGTTAAATAGAACTTATCATTGACTTGTAATATTTATTAAGTGGTAATATCATATCGAAATGTTTGGATATACAAACATGCATACATACGTATATGCAAGTATGTATGCATGTCTGAGTGAATCATTGATAACTCTATCGTTTTTATGAATACCGTAAACTGTAAAAACATATGTTTATTATATTTGTATATAAATGTAGTATCTGGAGAACCAGATGGGTTCAAAGTCTGTCACGTGAGATGTCACGAAGATAATTATGCGATAGGTGCCAAAAATACAGATATACATTTTAAAAACATTTCTGGAACCCCTAAGACTAAAATCTTCAATTTCTCAGGATTTTTTAAAAAATAGGACCAACAGACCAATAATCGTGGATTTTTACAGAATATTTTTTCAAGGACCAACAGACCAATAAGCATGGATTTTTAAAGAATATTTTTTCAAGGACCAACAGACCAATAGGCGTGGATTTTTAAAGAATATTTTTTTCAAGGACCAACAGACCAATAAGCGTGGATTTTTAAAGAATATTTTTTCAAGGACCAACAGACTAATAAGCTTGGATTTTTAAAGAATATTTTTTCAAGGACCAACAGACCAATAAGCGTGGATTTTTAAAGAATATTTTTTCAAGGACCAACAGACTAATAAGCGTGGATTTTTAAAGAATATTTTTTCAAGGACCAACAGACCAATAAGCGTGGATTTTTAAAGAATATTTTTTCAAGGACCAACAGACCAATAAACTTGAATTTTTAAAGAATATTTTTTCAAGGACCAACAGACCCATAAGCGTGGATTTTTAATGAATATTTTTTCAAGGACCAACAGACCAATAAGCGTGGATTTTTAATGAATATTTTTTCAAGGACCAACAGACCAATAAGCGTGGATTTTTAATGAATATTTTTTCAAGGACCAACAGACCAATAAGCGTGGATTTTTAATGAATATTTTTTCAAGGACCAACAAACCAATAAGTGTGGATTTTTAGTGAATATTTTTTCAAGGACCAACAAACCAATAAGTGTGGATTTTTAATGAATATTTTTTCAAGGACCAACAAACCAATAAGTG